TCCTTGGAGCGACTGGTGGGTTTGAACTGCTGACCATGTAGTAAGTGGTCCAGTGTTTATCCTACAGTGCCACACACATGCTCTTATGAGAATAGAAGAGACACAGAGATGGCCTTGTGAAGATGGGGCAGACATTGGATGTGGTATGGCCACAAGTTCTGGAATGCTGAGAATAGCTGAGAGTCACCGGAAACTGGGAGAGAAGACTGGAACAATGGATTCTCCCGTGATGCCTCAGAGAGAATGGGCACCAGCCTCCCCCTGAGCTCAGAGCCCTGCCTCCAGAACTGTCATGTGACACACTGTGTTGCCACAGACAAAGGAAAGAGATACATTGTAGCAGAGTGTCCTCAGCGGCCCTGCAGAGGTCACAGCGCTGATGGAAGGGCCACCTGGCTTCCTTCCTCGCCTCCAGCCCTAGCCCACCCCTCTATTCCCACCTCACTGGCCCCATTGGGCAAGCATCCACCCCCACACCCATCACTGGCGGGGGCAGAGAAGTAGAGGGGTGGGCTCTGTCAGATCGAGTGTCAACTCCTGAGGTCCAAGGCTCAGCTGGTTCAGGAGAGGTGCGGCCCACACTCAGCAGAAATGGGAAACACTGACCAGTGCCCAAAGGCACAATAGGAGAGCGGAGCTCAGTGCCTGGCCAGGCAACCGCCACCAGGAGACCCCTATCCAGCAGCTCCCACGGCTGGCTGTTTCCAGGGGATCAAGCTGCCAGTCCTGTGGGGCATCTCGTCTATGTGGACTCCATGCACCGACATTTCCTCGCTAGCCCTATGTTTGAGTCACAGTTATTTCCTGGAGAAGGAAGTGGCTATTCGTGCCATGGAAATGACTTGGTTTTCTGCTCCCTTGCCTCTTCGGCAAGCTCTTCCCTACCCAAGGTTTCAAAAGAGTCATTTAAATCTCCTTTGGGCATAAAGCAAGCTTTACAGAAGATGATGAGAGTGGAAGACTGTGATCTGGTCCATACAGACCACTTTCCTCAGCAAAATCATCGACTGCTTCTTAGCCTGAATTCCACACACACATTGGGGACCAGAATATTTGTTTGTGACTCATCCTTAGTTCTGGAGCCACCAAGACCAGTCCTGAGGGAAGACCGGCCCTTCCAAGCCTAGCCTGGGGGGATACCACCAATGTAGAGTGGGGTGAGTTAGGCAGACCCTCCACAGAAGGGTCCATCAAAGCTGGGCAGAGAAAGGCCCCTAGAGCAAATCCCAGATTGGGTTCACTGCCTCAGTTCCTCTTGTTGTTGT